TAACTGAATTGTGTCTTTCATTTCAAACTGACCTGTTACTGATGTTATGGTGGCCCACATTAATGACCCTAACCCTAACCCTAACCCTCTACCCTTCATAATTGTGAGAAATAAATATATTTTGGTTAAACTTGTTTGGACTTATTGTACAAACCGATTTGTACAGAGTTTAATGAAGTGTTTGAAAGATTAATTTACCTATTTTTAAATTAATGTCTATATTGCCATGAAGCAATTAGGATTTTCTTGCCTGGGATCTTCCTATTGTTGACCTAATCAAAATGGCCAACTTGGATGTGGGCGGAGTTGGATATGTACTTGATTGGTAGCATGTTATTATTAGCCATTAGCCACAGCTAACAAGGCTAACGTTTTGTTAATGATCATAAACAACGTAAATAAATACATAAATAAATAAATAAGAGAGAAGGGCGTTGGTATCGATACTTTTGAAAGTGAGTATCGCATCCAGATACAACATTTTACTATCGATACTTTTTCGAGTATCCATACTTTTGACAACCCTACTCCTCTGATGTTGACACCACTGAGTCAGTTCATGGGCTCAGTACTAGACTGTTACTAGTCTTATCGTTTGTTTATGATTGTTTATGGTTAGAAATAATATGCAAAAATAACAAGTTAACCCATTACAGCACTGAGATGTGTACAGTGGGGGAAATAAGTATTTGAGCCCTTGCTGATTTTGTAGGTTTGCCCACTTACAAAGAATGCAACGATCTATAACTTTAATCATATGTACATTCTAACAGTGAAAGACAGAATCCCAAAGAAAATTCCAGAAAATCACATCGTATGAATTTATAAAAATTGATAACCATCTGATGAGGAAAAATAAGCATTCTTTGTATGTGGGCAAACCTGCAAAATCAGCAAGGGGTCCAATACTTGTTTCCCCCACTGTATATATGAAAATAAAGGGAATTAATATTGTGGTTAAAAATGATAAATATGGATGTTAAAAACAGTTCATTTACTGATGTTTGGTGAATACGACCACAGTTTAATGTGTCAGGACTGGTGTGTTTTACATGATTTGCTTTATTCAAGATATCCTCTATTCTGGCGTGTGCAGTTGTGGAGCGAGTAAGACGTCAGACAGCGTGATCGGAAATGAGACGTAGCAAAAGTGAACTGATGTTATTATTCATGTTTTCACAGAAAAATCAATAAAAATGAAATATGCTGCACAGTGAAAACCCTTCTTCTTACAGGTAGTCAGTTCATTATACGGCCAATACAGAAACTGATTCACACACACTCCATGTTTCAACCTGAATTAACTTATTATTAGTGTTTTTGGATTGTGGAAGGAAAAACAGAGGACTTTGATCAAACCCACACACAAACAGAGAGAAAACTGCCCACAAAAAGCCCCCTGCTGAAATTTGTTCACAGTGTTCACAGCGCCTCATCACAGCTCATATATTTAGAAATCAAAGTTACATCTTACTTATTCTTTGTTAGTAAAAGAGCCAGAACCTTTATCTACACCCTCTGCCCACAAAGTCTATATGTTTATAAGTCTATATGAATCATATTTGATACATACGTGCTCTAAAATGTTTTATATCTGAGAAAAACTATGCAGAAGAGGCAGAAGAATACACAAAATTTATTTTGGGTTATTGCACAGATGAATAATTTTTTTTTAATCATTTTTCATATTTTGTTAAAGGGTCAAAGAAAGACTTCAAACCAAAAAAAAAAAGATTATTTATATTTTTTCTTGGATTATTTTCTTTTCTGTGTTCCAGTGGCTCCCAGAGGGAAATAAAACCCGGTAAACAAACAGCTTTTTTTGTTGTTGTCCACGTCGGCAGCTGTCGAGTGGATCTGCATTTGGTCCCAACTCCCACAAGACAGAAGCTTTTTGTTTCTGCCATTGATCGGGATTCAATAAAGAACAACCCCATTGTTTTTAGGTTCTAAATCATGAGATCATCTGACTGACACAGTATAACAACAACATGAATAACAACACTGACTTTAAACGGATTTAAACTGAATAAAAAATAAGGGGAAAATGGGCTTCAAACGTTTAACCCCCCCCCCCAACTCTGTAAATCACTTGTCAGTGACTGACCCTGGTTCATTCAGTTCAGTTTAATTTACACAGTGCCAAAATCTCCACCCCCCATTCTCAGACATTTCCCAGTAATAGTGAGGACCAGTCAGGTTAGTATATTCTA